TGTTGGCAATAGTCTAATTATGTTACAAAATGCGTGATAAAATTACTCAAATTAATTTGAAAATTCATAGATGGCGTTAGGGTACCGAAGTTGGCAGGTGAAATCGATCTCCCTTTCTTTTCCGGGGTCCACCTATGATCCACCTGGCACCTCTTGTTCACTTGTGAACCTACAAAAAATGTTCATTTCAATCGCTATTGCATTTGTTATTTTACACACTTAACGTCATGATCTGAGTAGAAAATATTCGCTGTGTGTACACTTTCCATACTTTCCATGTAATTACTTTCCAATACCTTCCAACATTCACTGGACGCGCCTAGATATCTTTTTAATAGCTTGCAAGTGTTCCAGAACTTAACTGAATTGAGTCACTCCAGGACAATCTAACTATTACCAAGCCGCTCATCAAATGCTACGTTGCGTATCAATATCACACCCCTTTTTTGGACGCCTAGATCGTGCTATTATAACCCTCGCCCTGGCAGGGCATTTTTCGTAACGCGGCCTGGGGGGGGGGGGGGGGGTGATCCGACCTCCTGGCGTTTCGAAACTAAGCGTCGTAGCGCTTCCCAACAAAGACAAGTCGATTGCTCTTTACGAGTATTCGCGACTGGTGATACCTATATTTTTATCCTAGGTCAATATTTGACTCCGTTTTGGCTAGTCAACGATCAAATTACGGGGAAAAGCTAAAATTTTCCAAGCTATTTAGCCAATAATGGCAAATCTATAAAAGATATCAACATGAAACTTTCACGACCGTGTTTCTCAATGAATTAGCAACAAAATGATGCATAGTTCACTGCAGTTCAGTCATTACTGGCGTGACATAGTCCCCGGGAACACGAGAGTCACACCCGCCGCTGGCGAGGACTGTCCTAATTGACCTGAGGTGACCTTGTAAAGATCGAGGAACAATTTTGAAAGCATTTAGATGAAGATTGAACCACAGATTCGGATTCAGGACCTCAAGAAACCCTACTAAACACAGACATGCGAGGTCAATGACCTTTGTTGACCTTAGAAAGGTCAATATACGATGTAATGTTTCATGTCCTGTCAAAATCTGACATAAGTCACAGAATGATTTCGTTCTGGTCGATGGGATCGCGTCCAGTTACGCCAGATGTACGATTTTGTCAAAAAGAGTCGGAGGTTTTACCTATTGTGAGGTCATAGCTCGGTGACCTGACATGACCCGAAAATATTTTTACCGAAAGATTGAGCTGAAAGTTAGCATGTAGGTAGGCACCCACTAAGCCATGCATATCCATGTGCCAGATTTGGGGTGCTGTTACACGTGCGCACGCGCAGGGGTCGATTCCAGATCTCGAAGACGGCTGGACCGATTGCGCTCAAATTTGGTACACGGTTAGGGAGCAGTTGGTAGGGTGCCGTGCAAAAGTCAGTTGGGACCCAGTTGGCACGTGCGCACATGCAGGGTGCCGCTTCCAGATCTCGAGAACGGCTTGGCCGATTGCGCTCAAATTTGTCACATCACTAGGGACCGGTTAGTAGGTCTTGGGGTGCAGTGCACAAGTTATTTGGTGGTACCCCCTCGCAATTTCGCACGTGCAAGGCCCACCCTCCCGCTCACTCCGTTGGTCGCCCCAAAAGGCGTTTTTACTGGTGTGCACGATTACTTTATAAAAATGCTGAAGTGTTGCAAGTAATTGACAAATATTGTCCAAAGCATGCTGCCTTTGTCCAACCAAATTCCGATTTGGGCATAGGACAAAATCGGAATTCTGAAGGTACAAAATCCAATTGGCACCACTCTAACAGATGTGGTAAGGTTGTGATAGGTTTTACCGAACGGAGATATAGACGATCTGTCAACTGACGAGAGAAGCCAAACTCTGTCAACTGGCTGGTGTGCAGCAAGCAGATATTGATATTCTGCAACGGTTATTTTTGTTGTTGTTTTAATCTTTCTTCAATAAGGTACCTATGTTAGAGCTGTTGTGCCTATTTGTTTATACACCAAACAACATCGGTGATAGCCAGATAACTATTTCATGGCGTGCAAAGAAAGACTGTTCAAGTTACCCAACGGTCGGGTTATTTGAATACACCGTCACTTGACGGGGAAGCAAGGCTTTACTTCACATTTTTCAAAAAAAAAAAATATGTTCAACTTGAAACTTGATGCACTCTATGGCAATGACTCTTGTCAAGTTGTTGGAAAAGTCAAGGCTGTTCAAGTTGTTCTTAGGACAATAAAAATTTATTTCATTGGCTTCCACTCGCCAAACCCGCTTTCCCTATAGCTCAATCAAGGGATGAATCACTGGGTGGTTCTTTCGACCCCTCCTCACCCTCCTGCAATTGAAGTTAGCCGTTGGCAAAGACACTAATTCGTGCAGGGGTTCATTTTCACTTGTCCTTTTAATGTAATCGGTGACTTAACACGCGCAGTGGAAGGGGGGCGGATTTCGCCCACCCCTCCTGTTTTTCGCCAATAACTCGCGCCGCAAGCATAATATCAATGTGAAATTTCGGCTACCTGTCCAGAATTGAATTGCGGATCTTCTCATGCAAGAGGTAAGAAAATCGGTTCACAACTTTTCTAGTAATAGCGGTGTAAAGTCAAACATCCTGCCGCCGCGGCGGCGCGGCGGCGCGGCGGCCGGCGCTAGCCGTTACGCGCCGCCTGAATTGTAGACTGTGCCGGGGCGGGACGGTTCCGTCTTTACATCGCGCTCCTTACCGCTGATTACATTAGATTCGCGTCAAATTCGGTGAGAAGACTGCGAAATGTACAGGCAATCACATGGTCAAAGAATTTTGGAAATCGGCCAGTAACAACTTAAGTTATGAGTGTGTAAACACAAAATTGTGATTGCCGCGTTTCCCGCGTCGGCCGATCCCGCTTCAGCCGGCGACATCTTACCGTTAGCAGGCTTCTAACTGCCATATTTATTGTTGGATTATCTAGAAATTCACCATTCATACTCACAAATGTCTGTTCTTTCGTATAGTGAAAGATTGAAGAAAATCGGCTGGTAACTTTTTGAGTTATCGGCATGTAAACGCAAAAAAGTTGCTAATATGGCAGATTTGACCACATTTGACCTCATTTGACCTTGAAGATATTGACCTAGGGTCATGAAATTCACACACAACAGAGTTCCCCATGGCCCCCACCTACCCTCCAAATTTCGTCTTTCTAGCTCCAGTGGGAGCTGAGATCTTAGGGGGGGCGACATCCGCCCCCCCCCCTTCCACTGGGCGTAGTACTCGCAACCCTTCCACTGCGCGTGTTAAGCCAGCAGGCCAAATGGACAAAAATCCATACAAACCCAGGTGATGCCACGGGCCCACGGCCCTCATCCTTGTCAGCGTCCACTCCCTCGGCGGCGGCGGCGGCGGCCCGCCGTGCCGTGCGCCGCGGCATGTTACCTCTCGCCGCGCCAGGGGCCGCGGGGCGGGACGCTACCCCCCGCTGCGCCAGGCGACCCCCGGGCCTGGGCACCGCCGCGACGGGCGACGGACGACAATAGAGCAAACAAAGGATGGGGCCGCCAGTCAGCCGGCGTAGTGAATGGGTAAATCCTTACTCGATAATACAGCAGGGACTGCTCCACGAACACGGGCAGGCCGTACGCTAGTAGACATTCGATGGAATAGGCGATTCGGGCGTAGGTCAGCCGGGCGTAGGTCACCCGGGCGTAGACATTCGATGGAGTAGGCGATTCGGGCGTAGGTCAGCCGGGCGTAGGTCATCCGGGCGTAGACATTCGATGGAGTAGGCGATTCGGGCGTAGGTCAGCCGGGCGTAGGTCACCCGGGCGTAGACATTCGATGGAGTAGGCGATTCGGGCGTAGGTCAGCCGGGCGTAGGTCAGCCGGGCGTAGACATTCGATGGAGTAGGCGATTCGGGCGTAGGTTAGCCGGGCGTAGGTCAGCCGGGCGTAGACATTCGATGGAGTAGGCTATTCGGGCGTAGGTCAGCCGGGCGTAGGTCACCCGGGCGTAGACATTCGATGGAGTAGGCGATTCGGGCGTAGGTCAGCCGGGCGTAGGTCACCCGGGCGTAGACATTCGATGGAATAGGCGATTCGGGCGTAGGTCACCCGGGCTGATCCCGGCGCCGGCGCCGCAGGGCCCCTCGGACCCGAGGGTCCCTTTGAACCCGGAGGGGGGGGGGTACGTATCCCCTTAGACCCCTCGCTACGCCACTGTTTCATATGCATCATGTCAGGTATTTTAGGCTCGCCCCCCCCCCCACTTGAAAATTGTTCCCGGGCCCCTGTGCGCGACACTGCTTTGATTAAAACTATTGATGATGGATGTTGGTGCATTTACTACCCAGATAGTTAGCAGCTCAACATGGAACTGACGGTTTGCCGGCCACAATGGCCAGCCACACAGGAGGAACAAAGAAAACCACGGCGCGATGACGTCACAGACACAGCGGTTCGGGGGATGGGAGGGGAGCCGGCCTCACAGAGAGAGCAGGTCGGGGGATGGGAGGGGAGCCGGCATAGGCGGCGGAACGGGGAGGGCACCGAGGCACCGTGGCCGTGCCCTTCCTTTGATTTTGGTATTTTAACATTAGCCCTATGGAGAATGGGACCAAAAGTCGGCAGTGCCCCCCCTTTATTGAAGGTGTTCCACCGCTACTGGGAGCCGGCCTCACAAAGAGAGAGAGAGAGAGAGAGAGAGAGAGAGAGAGAGAGAGAGAGAGAGAGAGAGAGAGAGAGAGAGAGAGAGAGAGAGAGAGAGAGAGAGAGAGAGAGACGGAGAGACGGAGAGAGAGAGAGAGAGGGAGAGAGAGAGAGAGAGAGAGAGAGAGAGAGAGAGAGAGAGAGAGAGAGAGAGAGAGAGAGAGAGAGAGAGACGGAGAGACGGAGAGAGAGAGAGAGAGAGAGAGAGAGAGAGAGAGAGAGAGAGGGAGAGAGAGAGAGAGAGAGGGAGAGAGAGAGAGAGAGAGAGAGGGAGAGAGAGAGAGAGAGAGAGAGAGGGAGAGAGAGAGCAGGTCGGGGTGGCGCACCTGGTCGCGCTCCGGGTAGAGCAGCAGGCGCGTGATGGAGACGTTGACCGAGTCATCGGACGTGTGCAGCTCCCTCTTGGTGATGGTCATGTTGCGCGAATGGAGCACGATGAAGCTGGTCTCTTGAGTGACTGTGATTTGGATCTTCACCCGGCCTGCAACACAGCATGCGACCGCAACTCAGACGTCATGGCGACAAGGCAACGAAAGCAAGCTGTTCCCGCCCCCAGCGGCGAACCGCATTAACATATACTGATTTGTTTTTTAGTGGCATTTATCTTTCAGGTGCCGCATATGTGTGCCTTGCCTCTGATAGCTGAGATTGTGCTGTAATTGACACCGAGGCTGACTACTGTGTCTGATAGCTGAGATTGTGCTGTAATTGACACCGAGGCTGACTACTGTGTCTGATAGCTGAGGTTGTGCTGTAATTGACACCGAGGCTGACTACTGTGTCTGATAGCTGAGGTTGTGCTGTAATTGACACCGAGGCTGACTACTGTGTCTGATAGCTGAGATTGTGCTGTAATTGACACCGAGGCTGACTACTGTGTCTGATAGCTGAGGTTGTGCTGTAATTGACACCGAGGCTGACTACTGTGTCTGATAGCTGAGGTTGTGCTGTAATTGACACCGAGGCTGACTACTGTGTCTGATAGCTGAGGTTGTGCTGTAATTGACACCGAGGCTGACTACTGTGTCTGATAGCTGAGGTTGTGCTGTAATTGACACCGAGGCTGACTACTGTGTCTGATAGCTGAGGTTGTGCTGTAATTGACACCGAGGCTGACTACTGTGTCTGATAGCTGAGATTGTGCTGTAATTGACACCGAGGCTGACCACTGTGCTTGATAGCCACATTGCCTGCACGCACGACCACTCACAATACGGGACGAAGTGAGTCTCACTTATATCTCTTCGATAGGCACTACTGGCACTGGTTAGACAGTGAGACAGTGTGTGATTGGGTCACTTAACCCGCGTCGGGCCGGTGATCCGAGATTCTGCGCCGGGCCGGGGGGGGGGGTGTCTGAACAGCCCCCTGTAACAAATTAAAATGTTCGCCGTGGAATCTTCTTGATAAAAAGAGTTCAGTTCGGCACCTCACTGTATTTCTTGACTCGAGACAGACGAGAGATAGAGAGATAGAGACAGTCCAGGAGAGTGACCGAGAGCAAGAGAGACTGGGTCACATAGCGAGTGACCGAGCGTGAATCGTCGGTGGGCTGCCGAGACTCGGCAGAGACGGACCAAGACTAAGACCGACCAAGACTGAGACTGAGACTGACTGCCCGGCGGCGGCCGGCGCAGTCGACGACTCCGAGTAGGGGTCGCCTCGGTCGTACAAGATCTGACATATGGCCTACAGCGGCTGACAATGTTACACCCCCCCCCCCCACTTCTAACTCGGCTCCTGGGCCACGTAGCGACTTGCGGTAAGCGACAATAAAAAGAATGTCCAAAATACGATAGGCGTTATCACAAGTGTATTCGCGGCCATTGGGGCGACGTAAGAAAAGAAGAAAACAACTGGCCCCAAGAACTTTAAATTATCAGTTAGCATGCACCTTTTCCTTGATATGTAGAGAATTTACCATTAATTGTTAGAGAAAATTGCATTTAAAATAATCCATTTATGCTTTTTTTCATCGTTTGCACAGTATGTTCTTTTACTAAGCTAGAAACACTAATTAGAAATAGTTCCCGCATCATCAAGAACAATAGGGAAGGCTTGAAGTGAATACAATAATCTAAACGGCTTTGTAATCCATGTGAAGACACTTCTAAAATTGCGTGTAGAAATATTAAAGGCAAAAGTTCAACTTTTTCACAAGATGGATGGCTATAAACCTATTCAGCGTGTGACAACTCAGCCGGTCTTTCGTCGCCTACAGCCCAGCTTTCCCTAGTGACCGATAGAGGCGCTGCTATCGATGTCCGCCCGTGCCGCCTAACGAAGGACGAAAACAGTTTGGTCATTTTTTGGGTCAGGTCAAAGGTCAGGTCACCAGTGGTCACCAAAGGTAAATTGTTGACTATTTCAACATTTTGGAAACTGCCGACGGCTATCTCGGGAACCGATAGAGCTACACCGCCGCAGAAAAGCGCATTCGATAGCCCTTTTACAGACCTTTCTGAATATTGTTCTCAGATTTGACCTCAGGTTAACAGTTTAGCCTCCAGAGGGTCAAAACTAAAAAATAACCGTTTTTACGAAAAGCGTTTTTTCGGCAATTACTTTTGACTCAAAAGAGCCATGACATTACTTTTGCCAGCATCGTGTTCCTCTCGTCGAGACGCGTCGAATGAATAATTTGACCTTGAAAGGTCAACTTGAAAATTTGATCTCAGGTCAAGGTCATGACCTGACCGGAAAAGGTCATGTTGCATATCAGTCGATCCACAACGTCGAGCCGAACACATCTAAGGCGTTTTCAGCGCTCTAGCATGCCTCTATCAGAAGTAATTAGCGAAAAACTGTTAGATTCTGTTTGTGACCTGAGATGACCTCGGGGACATAACGAGGGGTCACAGTTGCCATTTTCCGGTTCAGTGTGTCAATTTTACCTACATCTCGATGTTTGAGAGTGTCTAGAATGGCGTTCGTGCGAAACAGACGCTTTTCAATTTTCTCCCATTGACTGATATTGGAGAGGCCGCAAAATTGACCTGACCTTAGGTCACCGATATCAAAATTCCCAGATTAACATTTCATAGATAATGTTGCTCTTATCAATCGCTGAAAGTTTCAAGGCAATCGATCAGTCGGTGTAGCTATGACGAGCATTCTTATTTTTATTTTTTTAGGTGAGGTCACTTGGCGTGACCTGGTGCCTGACCTAAGGCGACCTGTGTCTGAAATTTTCACAACATGTGCGAAAAAGATGCACGAACAAATGGCACCGCCGTTTTTGATATATCAGCGAAAAACCGCAGGGGGGGGGGGGTGTTCATTACACCCCCGGCCCGGCGCGGCTTAATCAGCATGTCTGATAGTATTTATCCGTCGCTCTCGTGCTCGCAAAAACCGGACTGTGATTTTGGGACTGTATTTATCCAGGCCGGTTTTTGGTGAGGTGACCCATGCCCCACATATGCGTTACAGTCCGACAGGCACTATGCACATTGACAGTGGATGACGACACATTACATGTCCAGTGTCCATGACTACGCAATGTAAATGTACAGACATATATATGACGGTATGTTGACCACAACCCGTGACGAGGCGGCGACTAGGGTTGGCGGTGGGATTGTGCAGATGTGCGCGTCTCAGTCGACGGCTGCACACTGCGATACTTGGAACCATAGGGCACCCGCACCGAGTTGATGACGTCACCTCCTTCGCTGACGTCACACTCTCACTCCTTTGTACCTCCTTAGGCTGGTGCGGGTCGACGACCGAACTTGTGCGTGACCGAGGCGACCGATAAAGGACTTCAGACAACGTGGTCGTCTGAATTGTCATTTATCCGTCGCTCTCGTGCTCGCAAAAACCGGACTGTGATTTTGGGACTGTATTTATCCAGGCCGGTTTTTGGTGAGGTGACCCATGCCCACCACCCCACCGAACCACGAGACGACGGAGTTAAGTCGCAGGCGCGAGAAAGGAACGGAGTGCAACGTTGGCATTAAACCGCGAACCATTCAAGTGTACGGCACCGCGGCCGGCTGCCCGCAGCAGCCGCCGTGTCGGCGCCGCCGCTGACTAAGGTGATGTGAACACCAGCAAAATGAGAACGACTTCGTACACGGTGTGTGACAAACATCATGTGCCGTGGATCACCGGTCGACGGCACCGCGGCCGGCTGCCCGCAGCAGCCGCCGTGTCGGCGCCGCCGCTGACTAAAGGTGATGCAATGCATTAAGAGGGCGACCACGCCTCGGAACATACTTGTAGGCGACCACGCCTCCTTGTCATACCAGGCACAAAATTTAGAGGTGACCTCGCCTCCGGCAATTAAGGCTAATTCACGTGACAGTATGACGGGTGACTTCGGCATGCAGACAGTATGGGCCGACCTCGCCCCGCGCTGTTTTCAGCTGTGCACCCATTATGAGGGCGTTAATAGGGCGACCACGCCTCCGAACACACGTGTAGGCGACCACGCCTCCTTGTCATACCAGTCACAATATTTAGAGGCGACCTCGCCTCCGGCAATTAAGGCTAATTCACGTGACAGTATGATGGGTGACTGCGGCATGCAGACAGTATGGGCCGACCTCGCCCCGTGCCGTTTTCAGCTGTGCACTCATTATGAGGGCGGTAGGAGGGCGACCTCGCCTCCGAACATACGTGGAGGCGACCACGCCTCCTTGGCGTACCAGGCACCGTATTACGAGGCGACCTCGCCTCCGGCAATTTAAGCCAATCCATGCGACAGTACGACGGGCGACCTCGCCCCCCCCCCCCCCCGGCTGCGCACTCAATCGGAGGCGACCCCGCCTCGAGGCACGATAGGCCAGTCACGTAATTAATATCAGGCGACTACGTCCCAGAGGATAATATGCCACTATCCGCAGTCGAAGTAAGGCAACCTCGCCTTTGGGCATTTTTACGCCCACTGCCCAGTGACGTGCAACGGAGAGATCCGCGCATATAGCGCTAAAACCGCCGCCGAGGGGGCTCGAAACGGAGCTCTCTAATATACGAGCCCGCCAACTTACCACCGCGCCGCAAAAGACCCGTGGGCGGCTAGTTTCGAACCGCAGACCTTTGGAACACGAGGCGGGTGCCCCAGCCACTACACCACGCATCTACAAACCATTACTAGGTCGAGGAGCCGAGCAGTTGTCCACGGGCGTGTTACGTCACCGATGACGTCGGCAGTAGGGCGGGGCAAGCGTGGAGCAGGCCGACCCGCTAAGGGACGCAGGGACCTGCGCCCCTCCCCCAGGGGTGGGGACAGCCGCGAGGTGACGTCAGGCTGTTTGTCGGAGCCACCAGAATGACGTAACGCCCGTCAGCCAATCAGCGGGAGTGTGACAACGGACCGGCGAGGCCCGGCCAACCAACACACAGGACACGGCGGGAGCCCCGGCAGCTACCAGCCACGTGGGCCGGCCCGTGGCGACGAGGGAGAAATAGCGGCCGCGACGGCAAAACGACGCCATGTTGGGAGGCGTTAAAATGGGGTGCTGGCCGGCTGGCCGC